TCTTAGGCTTCCTTCTGCCTGTTACCAGAAGTCAAGAATTTATTCCTGTGCTCAAAACAGTCTACACTGATTATCCCAAGAATAGTCTAGGACTAAAAGTAACTTAAATAAAACAATTTTATTTAAAAATCAAAATCAAACTTGGGCAGAATTTGCTTTGGTATCCATACCTTCCCCCAGAATTGTACTCTAAATTCTAAACAAAAACAAAATTGTTTCCAGCCTTCATGGTTGCAAAGAAAAGCTTGAAAATTATATATTCAGTGTAACTGAGGAAGTGATATTTCCTGAGTTTGTAGGCAGCCTAAAGCAGTCATACTGACAGGTGAGAACGGCATCCTTCAACTTGTGGACAGTTTTCTTCAAAACCTTCAGATGAACTCCTGTGGCATAAAAAAACAGAAATTTTGTGGCCAGCATAATGTTTATCTAAGGATACCAAAGGATTGCTATTCGTGTTCACAGAATCTAAAGGTTTAGCTGCAGAATTTAGGTCTGGCTTGCTGCAGACTGCAGAGAAAAGTAAATGTCTTCTTGTAAACACTGTACCTACTCTGATATAACCTTAGCAGAGACTGAAAGTTATCTATAAAGCCAGCCACTTCAAGTTGTCTTATTCCAGCAACTGGAATATTCAGCAATTTATAATTATATTTTTCTACTGATAGATATCTTTTGGGTGGAGTTCTGTAAGGATTGATATGAGTGCAGCCAAAAGAGACCCTCTTCCAATTATTCCCTTTGGATTGTCAGCATTTGCTGCATCTCTCTTTGCCTTGGGACTGGCATTAGGAACAACTATAGCAGTTGGTATGTTGTTTATTATCCAGGTGAGTTTGACTGCATTTTGTAATACACAACTAAATGCTGTGAGAAGTACTTGGGTCCCTAATGGTCTAAAGCAGGGGGAGGCAGTTATTTCAGGCAGAGGGCCACTTACTGAGTTTTGGCAAGCCATTGAGGGCTGCATAACAGGCAGCCAGGGGCAGATAAATATTAATTTTCTAAATTGTTTAGGGGCCCTGCGGGCCAGATAGAATGGCCTGGAGGGCTGCATTTTGCCCACCCCTGGTCTAAAGTGATGGAAGAGGAGGATCAGTATTCAGGATTAAGATGGAAGCAATTGCTCAGAAATTCTGTTTTCCTGTAACTCTTTTCAGATTTTTGTCTTGCATTCTTATTTCTCTGTTATTTTTACTCTTTCTCTTGTTGAAAAATGTAGGGAATGCAGTTAGCAGATATAGGAGTTAGGACTCCTGGGTTCTCTTTCAAGAAACAGAGATCACTTAATCTCTCTGTGTCTTCATGTATCCATATTTAAAATAATAATAATGGTTGTTCTGGTGACTAATAAAGTGGGAGGAAGGGGTTTCTTTGATCAACTGGTCAGAGATCTTAAGAAGGAGGTAATGACAGAAGTGCATAAACTCATATCATGTGTTACAGTTCAAACCTAAAATGGATGTTTTAAAAAAGAAATGAAATTAGAATATTAGCACGCAGAGTTTTGACCTTCTAATATGTTACATATATTATGTAAAGATACTTGTAACTTTTATGTTTTCATGTAGCATTGGAATAATTATGCCAAGTTGAATGGTTTCTGTGAAGTTGATGTACTTTCTGTTTATGGACAATAATAATTTTATCAACTTCTTCTATTTTTAAAGATGAAAGTCATTCTGAGGAATAAAACTTCAATCGAATCCTGGATTGAGGAGAAGGTAGGCATTGATTCTACGGTATGTTCTTTTATAATACTTGCTCTCTGGATATATCTGTTTCTGTGCCTCTCCGATTTTAAACCTAAAGTGTCATTTCAGTTGGTCTATAATTGCCCCCTGTAGGACTCTGGAAGGTATTTTAATAGAAGCAAACCCTGTAAGAAAATCTTACCTTCTTTATTTGGGGCAGAGGAGATGAACCTAAAGAGTCAATATTTTCCTTTTTGACAACTTTGTTACCTGTCCATAAGATGTAGCTTTCTATCTAATGTTGACCTTTCTCAGTTATCTGTGTATCCAAGTGTATCTTTTTTGGCAAAAAACAGTAATGTTCTGGTAACTACCCATTTTGATCTCGTATATTCCTCATCGCCAGGGATCCATGTTTTCCGTTTTCCACAGAAAAACAGAGAAACCGGTGGATTTTCCCCTTTGCCGGAGGAAAACGCAGATTTCTCATTTTACTGGAGAAACCCGGACAGTTTGCAGTTTTACAAAGAGCTCCCTGCAGGCTGGCAGAGTTCCAGCCTGCAAGGGGCTGGGGGGAGCGGGAGGAGGGAGGCCAGGCAGGGGTTGCCGTGTGTATGTATGTTACATGGCCGCCAAGCACCCTGGAGAGCAGCTCCTGTACATAAGGTGGTGGGGTAGGGGGGGCAGGGATTTTTAATGTGGGAGGGAGAGAGTTGGCAGGGTTAGGGCTGCTGCCAGCTAATGTGGGGCTTGGGGCCCAGGGCTGCAATGTGCCACCGCGGGGCCCTGGCAGGGAGCAGGGTGGGGCCATGGATGGCTCATCCAGGGGAAGAGGGGCGGGGCCGGCTCCCTGCTGCTGTGCCCATTCCCAGGAGGGCAGAGGGGACCTGTGGCCCCCCCCAGATCTGTGCGCCGGGCTGTGGGCTTGAGCTTACTGCCCTGCTGCCCTTCCTGGGGGCCTCCACATCCCAGCATGCGCAACCCAGCACTGCAGGGCAGAGTGGGGCTGTGCAGAAAAGCTCCTTGCTGCTGTGAGCTCCACACTGCCCTGGCAAGGCATCCCCTGCTTGCGCAGCAGCAGCAGAGGTGGCAGGGCGGGGTTGTGCCCCTTGCAGCTGCTGCAGCAGAGCTCACAGTAGCAAGGAGATCTTTGTGCGGCCCCATTGTGCCCTGTAGGCTGTCGCACCTGCCAGTGAGGGGCCTTTCATTTTGATCACAGATTCTGGGGGTTTTATCAGAGAATTTGCAATTTTTTATTGGGGAAAACCAGGATTTCTGCTCCTGGTCTTTGCCCTTTTTTCCATAACTACTTGAGAAAGAAAAGCCCTCCCTAAACTTAACCCATCTGTCTGTTATCTTCTTTAAATCCCTCTTAGAGACATGCTTCTTGTTTCACATAACTAAAGAATCAGCCAACAGCACCAAGGATAAAAGGCAGCAAGTAATGCCCAATATTTATATTATTCAGTGAAAGGTGTTCAGAGACTCCAGTTTGTAGACATACCTGAGCTGCATGAACTTTTGATTGTTATCTTTGTCTTCTGTCCTGTTCTTTATTGCAATTACTTTTATAAGTTTTGTCTTAGATTGGACTGCTAGGACAAGGGCTGTGAATCTGTACAGTATCTAGTATCATGAAGAGCTCTGTGTTTACAGTCTAGCACAATTGAATCTTATTCCTAAAATGGGTCTTGAATCACTACCTTAATGAATATAGAAAATTAGACTCCAAGAATAGTTACTCTCTAGTAATATGAGAATACTAAGATAATGAAAGACTTCCTGGTGCAATTGTAGATTACTAATACAATTTCCCTCTTGAAAATTGAACATAATGGATACTAAAGAAATCCTTGTATTTAAACAAGTTGCTATGTGTAACATTTTATTCTTCTGTGAGTGCACCACTAGATGTCAGTATTGCTTAAAGAAGTAAAAGTTTGTTGCACTAGGCAACAAAATTGAAATGTATGTGATAATTGACATTATTGTAGATATTAAACTATGTTTATGTTTCGTTAAGGCTGTGATATTCTTGGAAGGTCTGAGGACTTCAGGTAACTGAACGCCTTGTGGCAGACTTTGAGAAATAGTTAGGCATCAGCTTTTTTTAAACCACAGGAACTTAGAATGTGACATGGCATGATCTCTGGTCTACCTAGCTGACACTGTCTGTAAGCAGCAGCTGAGTAAAGCTGTGTTAGCTGCAGCATCTACCGCATCCAGTTTAGTAATGTTTTCTAAACTAAGGATGCTGTAGCAGTATTTTTCTACTCAAGCGTGTGTGCTTGGTTATGTGGGCTTTGGTACTCCAGCTCAACCCTACACTGTCCAACTGTTTCCCGTTAAATCCCACTGTGAATTGATTTTTATGTCAAATGTGTATTTATTCTGCACAGGCCAAAGACAGAATCCAGTATTACCATACAGGTGAAATCTTCATTTTTCCTTATGACATGGGAAGTAAATGGAAGAACATCAAGCAAGTGTTTACATGGTCTGGGATTCCTGAGGGAAATGGCCTGGAATGGCCTGTAAAAGAAGGCTGTCACCAGTACAGTTTGACTGTAAGTGTTCTGCTTTGATGCCTAAGTATTTCCACCACTTGCACAAAAGGTTATTTTGTTTTCCAGTCATTCACCGGATTTTTAAATAACCACAAGTGAAATAAGAGCATTCAATAGAACAGATAGATTGGAAGTAAAACTCTTTTAAAATCTTCCTGTTACTAATAGTTTTAGAATTTTTTTTTTGTATAGAGGGCTATAGAAATGTCTGTTTCTTTGCATTTGATCTAACTGTTGCTATTTTGTGTGGACAAGTCCTATTTCAGTTTTTCAGTTAAACTAATTCTGCAGAGAAACTGAATGAGAGGCTTGTGTGTTTCTCTTTCTCACCCCAAATTCTTTCCCAGCATAGTTAGGGCATTAGTTTTAGTTGGCTTAGTGAAGTTTACCTATTTAATGTAAATGTACAAATTATTCTTGAAATCCATTCATATTTGTTCGGTGGTCAGTTGACCTGTTTTGTACAGAAATTAAATGAATAAGGTAATAAGGAGTCTAATCTAAAAAATGTATTGGAACTTTTAAAATACCTTTTCTTACAAACTACTTCACGTATAGGATTTTTAAAATATTGTGCTTTTCCTTATATACCTTTTATCGAATTTTAAATATGCTGTAAAAAAACCCAAAACTGAATTTTGGGTGCAGAATGCTTTACCAGTCATTACGTTGCCCTTCAGCATACTTGCCTGAATCTCAAGTTAACAAGTATTTGCTTTGTAATTTGATGAAGGAAGCATGTCTTCCTTCCTTATATTCTCTTATTATGTAATTTTAAAAGTCTCATTTATATAAGGCGATATTTACCAATAATCTG